CAAAGGTGATGCAGCAGCCATATTGCTCTCACAGTGACGCAAAACTGCGCCACGCCAAAGAGCCAATTGTGAAGCTAGGGTAGCAGCGCAGGATTCCCGTGCTGTCGGACTAAGATACGCAGCAATATACTCATCAATACCAACAGCCAGTGCTTGAAGTATATCCCCCACTACCCCATTCAGTCGATATTTAGAGCCCTCGTAGAACAGGCAACGAAGGTTAGCATCCGGAATAAGATCATAGTTGGTGAAAACAACATGACCGTCAACCAGATCGGTGCAGTTAGGAAAGGCCCGACGACAAGGACAATCAGCAGCAGCAGGTAGGCGCAGGCCCGGAGTGACACTCAAGGCAACTTCCGTAAAATTACAGAATTGCACCCTTGTTGGGGGTACAAGCTTGTCACAGAATTCAGCCTCCTGATGAGTCAATGAAACTCCAACGAAACAGTTTGTCACAGCCCCTCGTTTGTTGTCCTCTTCTCCTTCTCTGCCTACGGTTTACCGGGCAGCTCTGTTTGACTCATCACCGGGCAGCTCTGTTTGACTGATCAGGAGGCTGAACCCTATACATATTGTCACAGAACTATTGACTACGGGTGCAAACACGTGAAGTAGAAGAAGAAATCAGATGAGCGAAGAAAATAAAAAATGAAAGGACAGACAGGCAAAGAGACGGACAACCAGAAAAACAGAAAACAGTGTCTTATTCTTCTTTGTTTTAGTGTATTCTTATTTCTTTCAGTGTTTTATAATTTTTTACACTGAACAAAGGATAAAAATCAAAAAACAAAGACACATTGAAATCATTCAACTTCTCAGTCTTCTTAACTCCTCCTCCACTGCGCCTCTCGCGTATAAGGCTTGCCATGTTGATGAAGTTGAGTGTGAGCTGCCCCCATCCCCGTATGCCATAACAGCCCACTTGCACGCTGTGGGAAAGAGGCAGAGTCAAGGGAGAGGTGTTAACCACAAGGAAGAGAGGAGCAGGGAAAAAAAAACGATAGGCGAAGGGAAGGTGACACAACTTCTTTCTTTTACTCTATTATCCTTTCTTTCACAGTTTTGCAGTTTTGGTGAAGGGTCTACCACGTTCGCTTTTCAGCGCACCTGCACTTCCTTATTTACTTTTTATTCTCGTTTTCACTCTTCTGACTTTTTCTTTGAGGGTATTAGGGTGCAGGGTACAAACGAAGTAAAATGACATAAACTTTTTCTTCCTTTTACTGCATTCTTCTTTCACTGCCCTGCAGTTTTAGTAAAGAGGTCTCCCACTTTTGTACACTCTTTTCAGCGCACCTGCACCTTTTTGTCAAGGTGCAAGGTACGTCTGAGTAAGACCTTCACGACAGATAGGACAACTATCATAAGGATGTGGGCGATGGTAGCAGCCCTCCCACCAATCTATAGGACGAAGACGATTCAGGCAAACAACCTCGTCACAGCAGGAGCCAGGACGGCTAGCATCAACCATACCTCTGAAGCATGCACAGCAGAGGGCATGTCGATTGCAGGCCATGACGATTGTGGGGCGTTCACCATCACAGTTAAGTGCACATTCGCTATAGCACCCGCAGGCACAGACGGGACATACTGCATCTGGATGTAGAGGATGTTCACAATCCGGATACAGGTGGCATCCCTGCAGACAATGGGCCCCAAAAATAATATGGTTGTACTGACATCGACAAAGTCGATGCTTTCCACATCCAAGTGTAACTGCGTCAGTGGCCGAACAAAGAAGGCGGTCACAAAGGGTTAGTGCAGCATGTGGGGGAATAAAGACTGAAGCAGGCACGGTGACAGACACGGAGGTTGGCACGGAGACAGGTGCGGAGGCAGGCATCGAGACGGCCGCAGAGGCGGGCACGGAAGTACACAAGGTACCCTTAGGGTCAATAACCTGGAAGGAGACAGACACAGAAACAGGCACGGAGACAGGTGCGGACGCAGGCACAAAGACGGGTGCAGAGGCAGACAGTGAAGTACACGAGGTACCCATGGGGTCAATAACCTGGAGCAGTTGCAGATTAGGGTAATTACGCACGAGATCACAGATGGCAGTAATAGTTTGCACCATAGCACCGCCATTCCATAATTCCCAAACCAGAGGCACGGACAAGAGCGGTGTAGTGGCCAGGAGTATGTAGAATGTAGGCACAAACATGCGAACAGTGGTCCAGGTCGCCACCTGAAAGGGTATGCTGCATATCAAGCTAGCGCCTTATCAATGCAGTCTCCAGAACAGGGACGTTGAATCCCCCATGTCGAGTGTAGTTACTATCGTGTGCGGGATGCTGAGTCGGGTTATCGTCATATAATGCACGCTCCTGAGCATCAAGATCAGAAGCAATGATTAAGAAATCATAGTGAGTATATGATTCCCGACAATAGGCTTGTAGGCATATGTTAGTAGCAGTGAGGCCACACAGATTCGGTGGAGGCCGCTCAGGCGCATTTTCCACAGAATCCCCTACAGTCCCCTTGCCAAGTTCATCCTCAGATCGTCCCTCACCATCATCCCTCCTATTTTGTGCTCGTCGGGATGCAGAAAGGTTTGCAGTCGAAGAGTGTCGTAGTCGTGGCACGGATGCTGGGGGCGGCAAAAGACGAGGACGGGATGTTGGGGAGGGCCGTGATGAGAAGAATGAACGGGTTCTTCTTCGTCCAAGAACAGAGATGGAGGAAAGGGGAGTAAGCTGAGGTTGGGAAGTAAGCCGAGGCCAGTGTCCAGGACAGCGAAGTAGGCGTTTCGCAGGGGCAGATGAGACCGATGGAGAATTGGATGACGAAGTCTGCGTGGTCGAAGCAGTTTGTGGATCAGGAAGAGGGGTAACGAATGGAGACAAAGACAGGGGAGGTAGGAGCGGTGAAGACAGGGGTGATGGAGTAGTAGGAAGGTGGGTAACAGACGGAGACAAAACCAGGGGAAATAAGGGCGGTGAAGATGGGGGTGGTGAAGCCAGGGGCGGTGAAGTGGTTGAAGCAGAGACAAGGGGGGCAGTCACAGGTGAGACCCCAAGAGGGGACTCTGCAGGTGGCAATGCAGGCAGGGGCACGAATACCATGGAGGAACACACCGAGACCAAAGGTGGCACAGCAGCCGCTGGTCGAGTTGCGCCCGCAGAATCAATCGTAGAAGCAACCAAGGCCGATGAGGAAGAAGCTGTGAACCTAAAAGGGGCAGGCAGGGTCACAAATGGCATGGAAGGGGTTACTAAGACTGATGAGGACGCAGGTGCAACAGGCGCAGGTAATGAAGAAGAGGCTGTGACAGATGTGACAGGTGCAGGTACTGAAGAAGAGGCTGTGACAGGCGTAGTCCGGGAGCAGCATATAGATACACGAGAAAGTGAGTGGTAAATAGACCATAGAAGCACGCTGCAGAACCAGCTGGACAGGCTGGTCACATGCACAGGGTACCTGTGTAGACATTTACGAACATAGGAAGCCCATCCTTTCGCAAGCGTTGTTGGAGAGTGCCCACGAAAAAGGCATGCGGCGTGTGAGCATCGCAGCTGCAGTTTTGAAATCATACCAGTTATTGCAGACATACTCAAACCTACCTTCTTCCCCCGAATACAACGTACGGTCATTATAGCTGTATTTGGGGTACATTTCAGTCTAAATACAGCTACAATAACCGTACGTTGTATTCAGGGGAAGAAGGGAGTAAGCTGGCCTGTAAACACTCCTGCCGCCTGGTGTACAGGGACGTTAGACATAGCACTGGGATAACGAATAACAGGGAAATTCCATTCGTTTGCTTTGTCGAAGACACTCATACGCAGGGAACCGTAAGGGCGGACTTAGAGGCGTGCACCCAAGAATGTGCAAGAGCCACCCAAGAATGTGCAAGAGCCACCCAAGAATGTGCAAAAGCCATCAGGCGCTGTGGTCTCCTTCCATTTGATGCCATAGTGCTATATACATATCGTCACATGAATATCAGAGCGCAAAGGCGGGAAAAAAATGGAAGAGAACAAGAAAAAAATAATTTTTCATCTTCTTTCTTACAACTCCCCCTGTTCAGAACCTCTTGCATACAAGGCCGCCCACATGGATGTAGGTTGAGCGGCGGCTGCCCCCACCCCCGTGTGTCATATCGACCCACTTGCACACAGCCAAAGGGCAAAGAGGCAAAGAAAAGAGGAAGGGAACAGCCAAATACAACAAAACAGGGGTATATATTGTCACACTGTACATATGTTGTTTGACGGGATACATGCATGCATATATCCTCACAAATAGAACTGCCCGGTAAACCGTAGGCAGAGAGAAAGAAGAGGACAACAAACGAGGGGCTGTGACAAACTGTTTCGTCGGAGTTTCACCGACTCATATATATATTGTCACATGATATCAGAGCGCCTAAGCGAAAAAACCAAAAAAACAAAAAAATCTTAAATTCGTTTTTAATCTTCTTCCTTACAACTCCCCCTGTTCAGAACCTCTTGCGTACAAGGCCGCCCACGTGGATGTAGGTTGAGCA